ATTTATATAATTAATTTCTATATTTATTTAAATAGTTTAATTTTGACACAGCTGTGCACAGCCCATTCGTCCATTATAATTGAGATATTATTATAATGTATATTATGAATGTTAATTTTTAAACTAGTGTTAATTTGTTAAACAACAGTAATACACAAATGTATTTTTTAAAAATATTTTTTCAAAATTAATTAGATACTTGAATATATCGTTGTAAGAATATTCTATAATTCATAATGTAACTTTGAAAAATACATAGACTCTCACCGGATCTATCCTTGCAAACGACTCTTGGCTCTTTTTGCAAAATGTATTCCATTCGAGGCTTCCTGCTGCAATCATTCTATTAATTGTCAAAGAAGCAAACATATTTTAGCAACACTATTTCCCCAATAAAGTTTTCAAATTTTAAATTTAAATTTTTTAAGTTTATTTGGGGAACAAAATTTAAGCCACGATAAACGAAGGGACGGTATAAGCGGAGTCGTTATAGCCTATTATACTGTAATTCCTGCATAAGCTACTTGATATGTCTTCGAAAGTATTCAGTTGCTGTCGTTCTGTTGCCTTAATTCAATATGTTCATCAGATTCACTAGATATCTACACCAATCGCTTAAAGCTAATTAGTTAATTATAAGTCACTTTCCTTATATCTACGGATAATTATAGGTTATACTACAGTCCATTCACTCGCTATTTATAGAGAGTACCATTGCATGTGAAACGACTTGAAAGCAGGAGCCGAAAAAAACTCTTGGCTGGCATTAAAGTCAACTTTCTTCTCATAGGCCGCAACCGACAGAAACAATTTTAAAATGACATTTCATTAAAATTCTTAGTGTTGTCGTATATAACATATTTTTTGTTCCTGCCTGTGTTTTGTATTGATTTTCACCTGCAATTGAAAGCAAAGTTGCTCCTGCGTGTGTTTGTCCTTAGTTCACACTGCCTGTGCTGAGGCCTGAGGACTCGGCTGGCTGCCCTGAAAACTCGACTACCGAAGCTAAGGCAAGCCAAGGCAACGGCCAAGAGACCATACTAAAACTGTCTACTAAATAGGCCTAGCAATATTATTAATAATTTAGAGTATGCGGCCCATGTCAGTTTAGTTGCATGGACAGGTGGGCTGGCTGGCAGGTGAGACAGCCGGGGTAGCCGTAGCCAGACTGATGCCTGGCTCATGCTAATACCCTCGCTATTAGCTGGAAGTATTGGCCATGTAAATCCCATTTGCCGAAGCCCTAGCAGGGCTCCGTGTGTCGCCTGCGAATCTGTTTGTTCAGCTAATTGGCATTGCGGCTCTCTTTTCCATTTAATTTTTTTTTATTCATGTAACTGGAAATTCAACTTAATTCGAGGCAAATTGTCAATGTGCAAGGGAAAGGAAGAGCCTGTTCGAGCTGCTGCATAATACATTTCTCTGATTGAACATTGACATGCCATAAATGTAAATTAGAATTCAAAGCCAACTTTTATTCCACACTGAAATGTCATATTTATTTATTTGCTCGCATAGATTTCTGTTTCGGACATTTGTTAGCTTGTTAAAAATGTTGCCCAAATGAAGAAATCAGTGAGTTTTTGTTTCACATTAGACTTCTGTCTAAATGCATCGTTGATTGAGTGACTTATCATCGAACAGACACTTGTCTTAAGCTATTCAACTGGAATTGCTTCTATGATATACGAGTTGAATGGAATTTGCAACTTAATACTAAGAGCAGATAAATTAAAATAAGAAATTGAATCTTCAACAATCTGTCAGATTTTTGTTCTGTGCAGTTAAAAGTATAATATTTATATTTTTTAGAGACACAATTTTACATGTGACTGACAGGATTTAGTATATACTAAACTGTTCTTATATTTGACTTTTCTGAAGGTTTTGCCCGTGCTAAGATAAAATAACAAATTAAATTATTATATAGGATATTATATATTATTTTATGTTGAATATGATATGAATTTATATTTACGATCTTTACATTATTTACTTATAATTATTTTGATACAAATAAAACAAATAAAAAAAAATATATTTATTTTAATGAAAGCACTAATTCAATTGAACATAAAAAATGATTTCTTAGTCCTATTCAAATATCTAAAACATATATCAGCTCCGCATAGATTTTGTATGCATAGATCAGCTGCCATATTTACTCTTTCCTTTTTGTAAGGCCATATTGAAGATGGAATTATCGATTCTCACATACTGTAGTCCAATGTATGTAGTTATAGTATATAGTTAACAGACAAATTGCGGCTATGGGTTAAACGATCAGTTTAAATATTAAATATTATTATAAGTAGGGTAGAGGCAGAGTGTTGAAGAAGTCTGAAGAACTTATATGAAGAACTAACACAAGGATTTCAGGCATGGATAATTAATAATTATAATATTTCCATTAGTCCTATAAATGTTTAAGAAAAGAAACCACAGACAGCAATTACTGAATTTTAGACAATACCCTATTGCGACTCTCTATCTCTTTATGCTCTTTCTGTCTATGTACATGTTGTAGAGCAGAAAAATTAACATTTGTCAGCTACAATCTCTTTTCTTCCCTTCTGAGTGAAGAGCATACCGAACTCTTGCAAAGGGACTGCCATGATCATTGTATGAAAGCTTTGATCGACATTAAGAATATGAGTGTACATTTACAATCGTATGCTACATGTATGATCATTTTTAAGTCTGTATGCGAGCTTATCAGCTCATTTACCCAACTCTTGAACTCGCGCTCGGACTAATTCGATTTTGATCGGCTGAATATTCTCCCCCGAGTCATATACGATCGCAGTCTCACTTGTTTGTTGTTGTTGATCCCCTCTAAACAGCCAAAGATCTCTCTCTCTCTCTCTCTCTCTCTCTCTCTCTCTCTCTCTCTCTTTCTCTCTGTCTCTCTCTCACTCAACGCTATTCTACATTCAGTTTGCTCATTAATCGACTGCAGATGACATCAAATGGCAATGCCATCAAAACTTCTACTTGAATATTATAATGCTATGCTAAGGTATCTTGGAAAATTGAACGTGATTAAGTGCTATACTCCCATGCAACGGCATCCAATTACAGCTGCATTGCGTCAGGACTATATCTATATGGCTAACATGTCACATGCACTCAGCTGCCTGCCTAAGAGTAGGTATTAGACACGGCGAAGGCAACTATAAAGCGCAACTATTTCCAGGCTCAGACGAACGACGACTTCTATATAGAGTGCTGCACGATTTTATGCTTTATTTACGATCCACACGATGCAGTTAGGCAGCCCACACACACACACACACACTCACACACACATACACATTTGGACGATGCAGCACAAACGAAACATTTCATTTCCGTTCCATAAACAGTTTGGGCCCCATGGCTAAGGCAGAGGCCAAATGGAATGAAATGAGCAGAGGCAACAGGAATAAGCGGGAGGGCATCGAGGTCGAACAACATGCAACACCTTCGCCAGATAGTTGCACGGGTCGGAGTTAATTTCAAACAGCTGCTCGCCTATACAATTTACAGAGCCCGAGCACGCAAAACTCTTTACAGCTGGCAGCTTCAAGTCCTCGACCAGAGCTGATAGCCGGCATATATTATAGTTAGGAGTTGGCAGGAGAATAACCGGGAATCGGAATACGAAAGGCGGAAGGCGGAAGGCGGAAGGCGGGCAACGGGTACCAATGGGCGCTTTAAACTTGAAACTTTTTAATTTAGCGCATTTTCGACGGCATTTTTACGATTGTTTACCCAGCCAGCAGGCCAGTTTGGCCCAGCCTAGCCCGGCTCTGGCCTGCTTGGCCTTTGCCTGTGCCTTTGCCTGTGCCTTTGTTTTGGCGAGTTTCGATTCTATTTTCAAGTACTTGCTGTTGAACTTTTCGCTGTTTGCACGCATAAATAACAACAGCAAAACCGAAACTTTATGCCAATAGAGGCGCGCTAATGACTGCCAATTATCAGGTCGGAAATGTTTATAGAGAGCAGCCTAACAGCCTAGCCGGAAGCCTGGGTCACTGAGCCTTACTCAACCCCCCCTCGACGGCCTCAGCCAGAGTTCAAGTTTACAGTTTCACATTCCATTCAGTTACAGCTCTGACCAAACATGTGAGCTGTGCCTCAATTTTAAATAAAATCGAATAACACGCACAACTACGAAATGCTCATCAAATACATCAAGAGACGTGCACCGGCCAATGCCTGGGCGCATACAATAAATACCTTGGTGCTTCTCTCGCTTTTGTGCCAGATATGCGATACGCAGAGAGTCGACGTGCCAGCCGAAGTAATTGGTAAGTAAATTAAACAAATTATTTAAAAATAAAACATAATATTATTTGGTTGAAATATTATCAGAAATATTAAAAAATATTAAAAAATTAAACTCGCTTAAAAATATAAGAGCTATTTGAACATTTTTTATATGAAGCATGCAAATAGTTCAAGAAAAAAATTATTAGAATGGCAATTCATAATAATAATAATATTATATTGTGTATGAA